TGTAGGGGGTGAGGCTGAGCCAGAGAGCTGGGTCTCCCAGCCCCCTGACCTTCCCAGCCCTCCGGGGTTGAACTTTCTCCGGATTCTCAGGTTCTAGATGTGGCAGTGCTCCTTGCTGTCACAAAGCAAGTACGGAGGCAGGTGGGGTGTTTGTGGAAGGACAGACAGCTGACAGAAAGACTGGCAGGCTGATGGGGAAGAATACACCGTTCATCGCACACCTACTATGCATTGTGTCCGTGCTGGTTCCCCAGACGTTATTGACACAGCCTGTTGACAAGACAAAGTATTGTTTACTGCGATAAAGGGCAACACCACTTTTCAAAGCTTTGGCAGTGTCTCAGTGCAGGGAGGAAAGGTCACTATTTCTTGAGAATTGGGAGTTTGTTTTAAGGCTGGCCCTTCAGTGAGGTGAGGGAGGTGGGTGAGGGAGGCTTGATTAGGATTGGGTAAGAATCATGATCCAATAGTCCAGATTTCTTGGTGGAAACAGCAATGGGAGGGTTTTGCGGGGAGAGAGTCAAAGAATCTGAGGGCGCACACTCTGTTGATGGTTTCTCTTGAAGAGCGATCCATCTTTCAGGAAGCTCCTGTACGAACAATCAAGCCATTTGCTTGGGTTGGTCAGTCTGGGAAGAGTAAAAAGAAAAAACCCTAAGGAAGACAGTGGAACTGCCAAGTCAAGTTAATGTAGACGGTAAGGTGTGATTTGGGGCTTTGAGTGTCTGGGCTGACAGTGGGTGGAGTTCTGGTTCTCAGGGGCTTTCTGCCCTGGGAAGTGAGGATTATCATCCCTGTATTGTAGGTGAGGAAGGAACGGGCCACTGGTCTAAGGCCACGCAGTGGGATTGCAGCTGGGGGCATTCAAACCCGGGCAATTGCCTCCAAAGCTAGTGACTGTGCATGGAGGGAAGGGGTCCAGGCCCTCGGGACTTGTGCTTGACTGGGGCTTGGATGAGAGGGAGAGAGATAATCCAGACTCGGAAGGATGGTGCTGTCAGAGGGAGGCGTTAACTTGGAGGAGCCAGGTGTGCGTGGAAGGGAGTGGGTTCAGTTGGGCTTTGTAGCCTCAGAGATGCTTGAAGGTTCTCAGGGGAGGGGAGGGCAATGGTCCTCAGCGGGGCCTACCGTGTGCCTGGGCCGGGCGCCCTAGCTGCCTTCCCTCCTTGAGCTAGATGCTGTATCCTCACCTTACAGATGAGGCAACAGCCTCAAAAAGACGGAGGGGCATGTCCAGGCTCACACAGCAGGTGATGGGGCTGGGGTTCAGACTCAGGTCTGAGGACTTTGAAACCTACACTCAGCCCCACAGCTGCCTGGGATTTGCTGTTTGCAGCTGGAGGAGGCAGGACCCAAGCCTTTCCAGCAAAGAACAGGCAGAGAAAGGCGGCCCTCCCTGTCCGGCTGCTCTCTGAAACCTTGGCCCTCGTCATCCCATCAGCTGGGTGAAGAACACCGATTCCTGCCCATGGAGGGGGTAGCTGGAGGCAGACCCTCTGCCTTGCAGACCTCCAGAGTCTCTGACTGGACTGGTAATCAAGGTCTCTGGCTGACAGACTTTCAGGGTGACTGGGCGGCTTGTTGAGCAGCTGCAAGGCAGGTGGCCACCTAATGGCCCTGACAGACAGGTCTCCTGAAAGGCAGCCGGACCAGCAACTTACCAGCTGATGGACATGTGCGTGCCTGTGTGAATGACTAGCCACGTAACCCACTGACAGGCACACAGACCTCTTGCCTGCCAGCTCTGGAGCTGTGGGCCCCCAGCCCTTGGAACCACCTGGCCTACCTGGGGCCCTAAAACTTGCTTGCTCGCTTAGGAGAGAAAGGCGCTGGGATTTTTTCCTGGGGCCTGGCTCCCTGCCCCTCCTCTCACTCCCACAGGCCATTCTGGCCCCGGTTGACTCCCACAGTGGCCGCCTCTCCTGTCAGGGCCAGCCTCTGACAAAGGCTTCACAGGATGGGCGTCATGTGGAGAGGACACACAGCGCTGGACTCAGGACCCTCCTTCCAGAGGGAGTTCTATCCTCAATCAAGGAGTCAGACTGTTTGCTGTCAGCCCCTCAGTAGAGGCCTCAGCCCACAGGAAGGGCTGGATAGAACTGACAACCTGCCTAACCAGCCCCATTCAGTGACCGACTGACCACCCAAAGCGCTGACTGATGGCTGCTCTCAGAGCCCAGGGGGGTGGGGCCCGGGCTTCCCTCCTCCACCCAGAGGCTGAGGCTGAGGACTGGGCAGGTAGAAGGTTCTGAGCTGGTCCACTGACCTTCTGTCCCCCTCCCTCATCCATGCCCTGGGTTTCTTTCAGAGCTGGGGATCCGGGTCGGTGACTGCTGCCCTCCCAGCCTCAGCTCCAGCCGCATCATCTGGCTGGCCTGTCCCCTAGGTGGGTGGGCACTGCTGCCCTCCAGGTGACCTGGCTAGGTTTGGTTGGGCCAAGACAGAGAGGAGCATTGTGCTTCTTCCCCTCACCAAACCTGAGTAAGGAGCATGGAGTGATGTTGGGGTGAACACCTGGGTTAACCTGTACCAATGTCAGCCAGCACCGCTAGTTACCTCTGGACCTCGGCGTTCTCATTCAAAGCACAGGGATGATAAAAGCACCAAAGACAGAGTTGTGGAGAGGTCACAGGCATGTAGAGTGTGCATGGAAAGGCTCACCCACGTATAGAGCATGTAGCCCGGCATCTGTGCTACAATAGGTGATCCGTCTCTGATGGCGAGGGGACCTGGGGCTCAGTTTGGTCCCGTCAGTCTCCTCTGGGTTTGCTTGGAACTCCCTCACCTCCTCTTCTCCTTCAAAGTGACCTCCACAGAGTTCCTCCCACTGCCCTTCACTAGCCCAACCCCTTCCCCTTTGCTAGGCCAATCTCCTCTCTGATGGGTGTCACTTTTGTTTCAGTATCTCCTTGTTTCCTCTGAATGTTTATGCCCCCAAAAGGGACTCCTCCCCAGCCACACACACTTCCATTTCCTCAGTCAAATTCCTCAAGCTATTTGAATAGACATTTCCCCACAGAAGATATACAAATGGCCAATAAGCACATGAAAACGTGCTCAACGTCATTAGTTATTAGGGAAACGCAAATCAAAACCAAATGAGATGTCACTGCACAGTCACTCTGATGACTATAATCAAAAAGATAGACAATAGTGAGTATTAGCAAGAATGTGGAGAAATTGGACATCATGTATTGCTGGTGGGAGTATAAAATGGTGTAGCCACTTTGGAAAACAGTTCAGCAGTTCCTCAAAAAGTTAAACACAGAGTTACCATATGATCCAGGAATTCCGCTCCTGGCTGTATACCCAAGAGAACTGAGAATGTATGTCTACACAAAAATTCGTATATGAATACTCATAATACCTGAAACAACTCAAATGTCCATCAACGGATGAATGGATAAACAAAATGTGATATATATATGGAGATGTATATTTATATATCCCTACAGTGGATTATTCAGCCATAAAAAGGAATGAAGTACTGATACATGCTACCACATGGATGAACCTTGAAAACATTACACTAAGTGAGAGAAGCCAGACACAAAGGTCACATATTGTCGGACTTGATTCTTATGAATTTATATGAAATATCCAGAATAGGCAAACCCAGAGAGCCAGAAAACAGATTAGCGATTGCCAGGACCTGGGGGAGGGAGGAACGGGGAGTGACTGCTAATGGGTATGGGATTTCCTACTGGAGTGATGAAAATGTTCTGGAACTAGATAGTGGTGATGGTGTATAACTTTTTGGATATATTAAAAACCACTGAACTGTATACTTAAGAAGAGTGGATTTTATGGTATGTGCATTATATCTCAACTAAAAAAAATTCCTCAGGCTCCCAGGTACCTTATGTGAGGAGCACAAAACCTTCACTTGCAGAGGTTCCAGGCCTCTGTAGCCCCCTCGCTGAGTTTGCCTTCCAGGTCTGGAGACGAGGTGAGGGTCCCCAGCCCCCCTCCCTGGGTCAGAGGTGTCCTCAGGTCAGTTTTCAGGCTCCAGAAGGAGCTAATTGAATGAGGGGAAACTCCTGCCAGGTTGAGAGGCATATAAAACAATGGAGAAGGCTTCCGCAGGAAGTGGGGCCCCAGGAGGGGAGGAAGGCCAAGGAGGCTGGAGCTGCCAGGAGGTGCAGGTGGTTCCCATTTAAGTGGAGGGATGGAGACTCCCAAGGCCGGACTGCCGGGCTCCTTGCTGAGATTAAGCGTCAGGAGTCCCTGGGAGCCGCCTCTGAAGGGGCTCAGCTTTCCTCCCCCTACAGTGAGTGGCATAGTGACGTGGTTACCATGGTTACCATAGGAGAAACCGGGCATGCGTAATTGGGGCCAAGAGTTCAAGTTCTACCACAGCTCTGCCTCCTGAGTCATGGCCCCGCTTGGGGTTTCAGTTTGTCTAGGGCAGGGGTTGAATGGAATGACCTCTGAGATCCCTTTCCGCACTAACCAGCACCATGGTTTGACAGTACGATTTGGGGGTTGGGCTGGTCAGTTCTGTGATTACACGCAGGGTGGTGCCCTGTGGGGCAGTTGGCAACTACCCCCGGGAAAAGGCTTTATGCCTGACTATGGACCAAGCCTCGACCCTGCCCCTGGCCCCAGACCTCTGATCCTAGACTGAGCCAGACAGACCCAGACTCAGCCTCCAGGAGCACAGATGTCTCACAGCCATAGGCCCGAGGCAGGCTCAGGCCATGCATCCCTACTCCTGGGGCTGCTGCTCGAAGGTTGTGTGATGGATCAGCAGCTTCTCCCTCCAATGAAGGAACAGAGGGAGGTGTGAAATAGGTGGTCCCCATTAGGCTCTGGCCAGCGTGGGCACATGGAGCACACACTCTCTTGGGAAGGACCCTTCTAGACTCTGGGACTCAGGATGGCGGACGGTGCTTTGACTCAGGTTCTCCCCAACCCCTGAAACGCCTTGGGCTACCTGGGTCAGGACCATGCTCTGGGATTCCACCTCCACTCTCACCCCCTGGCTGGCTGTCCCGCAGGGCCGGTGGGTGAGGAGCCTCAGATGCCAGACAAGGACACCAAGGCCATGATGGGCACGGAAGATACACCTGGAGGCAAACCCAGCCCAGACCCTCAGGACTTGCGGCCAAGTGTGTTCCACAACATCAAGGTACCTCTGGGGTCTGGCAGGGGCAGGGCCATTCAACCCCAGCAGAACAGGCTCTGCCACTTACTGGCTGTGTGACACCAAGCAAGTTGCTGCCTTTCTCTGAGCCTCGGTTTCCTCATCTGTAGAGTGGGTGGCTGTGAGGATCAAAGGACATAGCTTGGTTTCTGGCACATGGAAGATGTTTAGCACATGTTTTCTCCTTCCAGAAAGGAAAGAGGGGCTGCCCTGTGGGCAGTGGGGGACCAGTCTCCTTGCCTCCTATGTCCATGGAGGGAAAGAGAAGGACCCCAGTGATCCTGAACCTGTATTAATACTGGGAGTTCTGGTTCTACCACGGGCAGCCCTAAACATCAAGGCATCCACTGGGTGCCAGGCCCTGGGCCAGGTGCTGTTCCCACATGATCTTATTTAATTCTCACAGTAACCCTGGGAGGTGGGGACATCGTCCTCGTGGGACAGGTAAGCAAACCGAGACCCAGAAGAACAGAGTAAATGTTGTTAAGCTCTGGCGTAAACACCATATTTTTTAATTCTTTGAAGCAAGTTTTTCTTCTCTTAGGAATTCTGCCAGTTTTTTAGGAGGACTACAGGCAGGCAGGGATGTTTGGGGTGGGGCTGGGTGGGGTGGGGTGGGGTGGGCAGCCTGGGGATTCCGTGTGTGCAAGGGGTCTCCCAGGGAGCTCTAGGAGAAGATGGGGTGGGGGTGGGGGAGGATAGGATCTGGGAGAGCTTCCTGGAGAAGGGGGCAGAATGGAGTAGGGAGGGAGGTCTAGTCTAGCCCAGGGGGGCTCTGAGGGTCAGAGGGGGCTCCTACCATTCTCACCCCCATGAAGAACCTACTCTCCGTCATGTGGGTCTCGGGTAGCCCCCAGGCCCCCAAGTGTACCCAGGACAGCTTTTCTAGCTTTTAGGCCTGTGTGAGAAGCCATGGGCTGCTCCAATAACACTCTCTCTCCCTCTCTCCCCCTCTGTCTCTCCTCTCTCTTTCTCTCTCTCCTCTCTCTCTGTCTCTCTGTCTCTCTCTCTCTCTCTGTCTCTTTCTCTCTCTGTGTCTCTCTCTCTCTCTCTCTTTCTCTCTCTCTCGTCTTGTTCTTGACTCTCCCTTCCTTACTCTCTCTCCTCCTGTGTGTCTGTCTCCTCTGACTCTGTTTCTCCATCTCTATTCCTTGCTCCTCTCATGGCCTCACACGCGCTCTCTTTCCCCAACCCCATCTCTGTCTCCCTGCCTGCCTCCCTGTCCCTCTGCCCGCTGCCATCCCTGCGGCCCCTCGGACAGTTCTTCGTCCTGTGCCACAGCCTGCTGCAGCTGGCACAGCTCATGATCTCCGGCTATCTCAAGAGCTCCATCTCCACCGTGGAGAAGCGCTTCGGCCTCTCCAGTCAGACCTCGGGGCTGCTGGCCGCCTTCAATGAGGTACTGGCCGGGGCGCAGCCATGGGGGGGACGTTGAGGGAGACTGGCACCCACCTCTCCCCATCCTCCTCTCACACCATCCTTCCCGTCCCAGTGCCCTCAGGTAACCCCCATCACAGCTCCTTCCCCCATCACAGCTCCTTCCCCCATACCTCCTTAGCCCGGATCCTTCTGCAGCCAGTGTCCTGGCCAAGAAGCTGACCAGCCATGTGTTAGGACAGGTCCGGAGGAGCTCTCCCCTCCCTGTGCCGATAGATAGAGCATTGGCGCTCCTGCCCTGGGGGGCACTCTGTTGAGGGAGGTGGGGGATGTTAGATCTGGCCAGGGTCCTCACAGCCACCTACTCTCCCTTTGGTTCCTTTACCTTTTCAGGCACCTGGCTGTGGCCTGTCTTGGGGGAAATCAGAGGGAGTCCCCTCAACAGCAGTGAGAGAGGTTTACGTTAGATCAAAGGCAGAACTTTCAGAAGTTGGGGTGGTGGGGGTGGGAGCAATATCACGGCACAAGTGTCACCCTCAGAGCTGCCCAGCGATCCACAGCCCTCTGCCTCTGGGGCCGGCAGCCAGGCAGCGAGGAGTGGACAAGCTGCTTTGGGTGGATTTGGAGATCAGAGTCCAGCTGTGCTGGCCCCTCCCCCACCAGATGTTTTCACCAGCGGAGAAGGCTGCTGTCTCTGCCCCACCCCCAGCAGACTTCTGTGAAGTTCTCTCCCCCTTGGCTGATGTGTCACATTCCTCCCATCCCAAGGCCTGTCAGCGACACAGAGTCCCCAGATGTCCCTCAGACCCCACCTCCACATCTCAGAGGTGGGAAGGGAACATCATCACCTAGCTCTGGGACCTTGCGCAAGTCGCTCCCCATCTCCAGGCCTCAGCGTCCTGTCTATGAAATGGAGAGGGGCTGTCCTTCCCTGGGGCAGTCCTGCCACCAGCCCTCTGCTGATCCTGCCCCACTCCACCAGCATGGAGCCAGGAGCACAGTGGGGGAGGACTTGCCTGGTCACCAGCCAGTAGACACTGGAGTGGATTGCACACCTCAGCTTCTGACAGCAGAGCCTGCCCCTTCCCTGCAAGCTCTCAAGTCTCTTCCAGGATTTTGATTCTAAGTCTTGAAATTCCAAGCCTTAGTCCTCTGGCTTTAGACTTTATTTGTTTCTCTCACTCATGACATCCCAGAAACATTCATGCACCCCTTTCCTTGACTGCCTCCCGCCATGTTCTAACATGGGGTCCAACCCATGTTTCAGAATGAAATTGAACTTCTAGCCTTGTCCACTCTGCCTTCATCTCTCCCCTAATGGAGTGGTGGGGCCCTTCCTAGGAGGACCTGCAATCTGTATTTGTAAGAGGGAGCCAGATGATTCTTATTCAGCCAGCTAGTCCATTATACAGATGGGAACACTGAGATTGGTGAGGGAGACAAGGATGGTGCAGGCTGCCGGCCCTGGGCTCTGCTCCACTTTAATGGGTGCCCTTGTCCTTTTGCAGGTGGGGAACACCACTCTGATTGTGTTTGTGAGCTATTTCGGCAGCCGGGTACATCGGCCGCGACTGATCGGCTATGGGGCTGCCCTTGTGGCCTTGGCGGGTCTGCTCATGGCTCTCCCACACTTCATCTCGGAGCCGTACCGCTTTGACAGCACCAGCGCCGGTAAGAGCAGGAGGGGCTGGGCTGGAGGCAGGCATGAGCTGCTGCATTACTGTGCACCGGGGCCTATCCCCAGGCCTCCATCCACCCAGCCTCCCAGGACAGATGCTGGTCCTCCTCGCCCCAGCCCCCATGGCCTCCCTCAGTCCCAGCCCAGGCGGGTCCCTCTGGCGTCCTGGAAAGTAACGTAGGATGTAGTCCTGGAGCAGAGGGGTGAGGCCCAGAGGGTCTTGGTGAGGGCCTGCTTGTGTGTCACTGCTTTTTTTGAAGTGGGGGTGAATTTACAATGCAGCCTATTTTAGGGCCTAGCATGTATAGGCCCCCAGGAAATGTTTGTGGAATAATAACAGTATCACACACCACTTACTATGCACCAGACACTGTTCTAAGCACTTTATGTGCATTGATGCATTTAATCCTCACAAGAAGCCAAGACATGAATGAATGAGTGAATGAATAAAAACAATGAAAGGATTTTAGACAGGAATAGTGAAGCCCCTGTTCAGCAAAGTGGGATTTTGTTGAAGGCCTGCTTGACAGATGGATGCCTGTTCCTTAGGGAACGACCCAAGCAGCCTGAGCATTCACTTCATTCCTTCCCTCTCCCATCCACCCATTTACCCATCTATCTACCTAGTCACCTATCCACCCATCCACCTACCCATCTACCTATTCACCCACTCATCTATCCACCTATACACCCACCCATCCACCTATCCGCCCATCCATCCATCCATCCATCCATCTGGTGGTCCACCCAACAAACCCTTAGTGCTGCCCACTTTATGCCAGACCCTCTCAGGGGACTCAGTCCTTGCCTCCAGGGAGCTCCCAGTCTGGGAGAAGAGACAGAGACAAACAAAAACCCCCCAATGTGTCAATTGTGTGAGGAGGGAAACACCGGGGCCTAAGGAGCCCAGGGAAGGAGCCCACGCCCCAGCATGGCATCATGGAAGGCTTCTCAGGGGAAGAGGGCTATCAAGAGTGCATCCTTCCTCCCTTGCACTCTCATCAGCGAACACCCTGGAGCTCCCACTCTGTGTCAGGACCAGGGGTGGAAAGATGGAGCAGATAACGACCAGCCCCGAGAAGCTCCCAGGGGAGCATGGGTTGGAGGGAGCTTGGGCAACTCTGCCACAGGGTAGAGTCCAGCACCTTGAGTGACAGCCAGAGGGAGCTGGTAGAGCCCTGAGTAGGAGAATGATGCCCTAGGCGGGAGGGAGCTGGAGGAGGTGGCATTTGGGCTGTGGTGGAGAGAGAAGGTGGGCATTTCAGGTGGAGGGAGCCACATGGCAATGGGGGGGACATGGAGAGGTACGGAGTATGTGTGAAGAAGGCGAGGTAGTTATCTAGGCTGAGTGGAGAGCTGTCAAGAGGCTGATTGGAATGCTGAAAAATAATGCTTCCTCACATTTCTGTGTCCAGAATTTTCACTGTAACAGAGCTTTTTCTGTGCAGGGTCACAAACGTTCTTCTTCATCCTCGCTGTCATACAACACCCTTCTGTCATAGGCTCCCTGTGAAACCCTAGGCAAAGCCTTCTCCTGTCTGAGCCTCACTCTCCACATCCATCCAATAAGTAGACTTGACTCGGGGACCTCCAAGCCCCTGTCCTGCTCTGACATTCCAGGCTATTTCATTCACTTGTTCTTCACCCAGTGTTAATTAATTTACCTATTAATATTCGTGTGCCAGGCCCTCTGCTATGCACTGGGGACATGGGTGGAAAAAGAAGCCAGAGCCCTGTAATAATCATCACATCTAATGCCTAGCAGGCACTGTGTCCAGGCACCACTCACCACCCTATGAGGCAAGTGTCCTCATTATCCTATTTTACAAGTGGGGAAACTGAGGCTCAGAGAGGGAGGGCCTTTCCCAAGGCCCACAGCTAGTGGACTATAACATACTCTGGTATCCTGGCCCTAGAACCCCTGCTCTGAACCACTGAATTATTTTGCTTCTGAACTCCATATTTCTGGTGAACTTCCATTCTAGGAGACTTGTTTGAGAGATGAAGAAACTGAGGCCCAGAGCGGCTGAGGGCCTCTGTCAAAGTCTCACAGTCTTCAACCCAGGCCATCTCTGTTGAAGGTCCAGGTCCTTGACGTTGGTTCACGTGGCTTTTTCCAGTGGGTGGACACAGCCCAGAGCCCTAGGTCCGGGAAAGGGCTAGGCAGGCCGCAGAAAGAAGGCCACTTCTCCACCCACATTTAGGATAATAATAGCGTGAGGGTCTCCTTAAGTTTGCTCACCAAATATTGGTGAGCTACAGAGAACCAATGTCTGGTACTATATTAAGAAATTCCCCTTTACTGCACCCTGCCTCTGCGACCCAGGCTGACACTGAGCACTCCCCAAAATGAAGGCCAAGGGCACTATAGCCCTCCATGATCAAGCCCCAGCGTCCCTCCCCTGCCCTGCCCTGCCTTTACCTTGGCCCTGCCCCTCACACGCTCAACTTCTCAAGGCCCTGGGTTTGCACATGCCGTGACCTCTCCCTGGAACACCCCTCCCCACCTTCTCTTTCTGGAAAGTCTTGTTTTTTCTTCTCAACCCGGTTCAAACTCTGCTTCCTTTGACGACCCCACCCTACTCGAGAGCCGCCGTTGCCGTGACACTTCCACATACCTCTACCCAGAAAGGTGGCATAGGGTGGTTTAAGAGCATGGACTCGAAGCCGGATTGCCTGCATTCCAGTCCTGGCTCTACCCTTGCTAGTTGCTGCCTGATCATCAGTCTTCTCATCTGTGAAATGGGAGTAATGAGAGCACCCGTCTCGTAGCTTTGTTGATGGGGTCAAATGATTTATATTCACAGCACTTAGAACAGTACCTTGCATTCAGTAAGTGCTACATAAGCTTAGCTATTGTCATAATATTTTTTATCATCTCTCAGTGGACATGCCACAGGATTCTGAGGCTTCCCTGTGCCTGCCCACAACCTCGGCCCCAGCCCCAGCCCCCTCCAACGGCAGCTGCTCAAGCTACATGGAGGCCCAGCATCTGGCCGCGGTGGGGCTCATGTTCACGGCACAGACCCTGCTTGGCGTGGGCGGGGTGCCCATTCAGCCCTTCGGCATCTCCTACATCGATGACTTTGCCCACAACAGCAACTCGCCCCTCTACCTCGGTGAGGACGGGTCCCACCCCTCGGGCTCTGAGGGAGGGTCAGGATCAGGTAGGAGGATGAGAGGCCCAGGTGTGGGCTGGGCACAAGTCCCAGACCTCTGACCCATGTGGCCAGTAGAGGTCCGGAGACGCCCTGGAGATGGGCTGCTCTTGCCCATTGGAGATTGGGCAGGCTGTGACCTGCGGAGGGAAGCCAGGGCCAGAGGGGTCTGACCTAGGCTTCGTGTTGCAGGGATCCTGTTTGCAATGACCATGGTGGGACCAGGCCTGGCCTACGGGCTGGGCAGCCTCATGCTGCGCCTTTACGTGGACATTGACCGAATGCCAGAAGGTGAGCCTTAAGAGCACACAGTTGTCCCGGGGCACACGGACTGTACTCACTGACCGCTGGTCTCAGGAGACACTGAGCCAGGGGACCTAGGTTCAAATCCTAGCAATCCCAGTGACCCTGGACATGCCTCTTGACCTCCCTGAGCCTCAGCTTTCTCACCTTTGAGACTCTCTTTGTCCTGTCCACCTCCCAAAGCTGCAATCTGAATCCAATGAGATGATGGAGATGAACTGTGAAGTGCCATCCGATGGGAGCTGTGGTCGTTGTCACTGCCATTATTACGAGTCTTCACCTTGTTCCATCCCTGAGCTCCCCAGACGCCCCTTCATGCTCAGATGGGGCAGACAAGGGCACATACTCTCTTGGCCTGTAGGGAGCTCCCATCTTTAAGGGGAACAAGGTGAAACCAAGGTGACACTGGCATGCAGGAGAGAACTTTTGGAGCAGGACTCAGTTCCCTTGGGCCTCTCTCAGATGGGAAATCTACTGGGTGACCTCTAAGGACCCTTCCAGTGCTGACCACTTCAGAGTCTGGGAACCTGGGCTGAGGGCACCATTCGGGAACAGCGGTCTCTGATCCAGGTAGTGGTCACGGTGGGCCAAGGAGTGGGACAGAAGCTTAGTCTGAAGGCAGCCAGGAGGGAGGGGCGTTGGGGGTCCCAGAGCTCTGGTGCCCTGCGGGATGTGGGAGAGAATTCCTTTTAAAACAGGTCACTGTGGCATCTCAGCTGCCTGCTTGTCACACCTAGTGGCTCTGAGCCCCCAACTATGCCTTCTGCCTCCTGCTGCTCAGAAGTCCCATCCCTCACCTGGAGAGTTTCCAGCAAGCCCTAGAAGCCTCAGGTGACTCCTGTACAGATGGATGGACATGCAGATTCTGCTTTTTGATCTCCGTTTTTTGCCCAAGGGTGCCTCCAGCCAGGACAGGTCTAGGCAGCTCTGAACAAGAGTCACTAGGGACAGCCCTTCCAGAAAGCTAGGCCCAGGAGCCAGGTGTGAGCTCTGATTGCCACTCCTCTCTCCCTTGAAGAAAACATCCTGGGAGTCAGGGCCTCCTTAAGTTTCCCAGAGATACCACAGCTTAGGGGAAGTTGACATCATCCTGGCAGATGTGACACCTCCACAGGCAGGTGTGGTGTCCCTACGGACCGACGTGCCCCCTCCCTAGTCCTTCTTTCTCTATGGGAAACCTCATGGGTGGGTAGCTCATGTCCCTTGCAGGCACAGACTGGTATGAGAAGCGGGGGAGTTAGGGGATGCACGCGTGAGCCTGGCACAGAAGCAGGGGAAATAATAGGTGGGGGAGGGAATCAGTGCAAAAGCCAACTCCACCCCAGCTTTACAGATACACTTGCTGAGTGCCGACAGTGTACTCTGGCCCCCGCGCAGGAGGAGCTTGTGATTGAGCACCTGGGAACCAGCCCCACCCAGGGAGTTAGTGTCAGTACACATCTGAAATGTTATAAAGTGTTTGCAGATGCTGTGGATACTGAAGGAGGAGGTACCTGGAGGTACATCTGGGATAATCTGGTTCTAATTATACCTGGTGGGGGATCAAAATCACCTGGGGAACTTGTGAAAGGTACAGATTCCTTGGTCACCTTCCCATCCTACTCTGCGGTAGTTCTAAGTTGGTCTTGGGTAAGGCCTGGTATTTTCAACAAGCACCTCTGGTGATTTTAATCATCATGCAGATGTGAGAACCACAAGAGTAGTCCTAACCGTCAATTTAATAATAATAATCACAATCATAACAGTAAATGAAGAAGAAGAGCCACACCCAGATAGCGCATTCTACGTGCCAGCACCATTCTAAGGGCTTTACATGTTTCAGTTTCTGTGGTTCTCACAACAACCCTCTGATGAAGGTACTAATATCTGTATTTTACAGAGGAAGAAACACAGAAGAAGTTGAGTAACTTGCCCAAGGTCATGTTAGTAATGGAATTCAGACCCAGTAGTCCATTTCCAAAGTCCATGACCTTGACCACGACACACATTGCCTTAGTAGTTGAAAAAGCCAAGGCCCAGAAAGGGTCAGGGAATTGCCCAAGGTCACACAGGACAAACTGGCAGAGCCAGGACCAGAACCCGGGTCTCCTGACTCCTGGCCCAGGCCACCTCATATCTCAGAGGCGAGTCCCAGAGTGGTGGCCATGAAGTGATGGTCCACCCCGATCCTAACATCACCATGGTCTTCTCTTCCAGGTGGTATCAGCCTGACCTCGAAGGACCCCCGATGGGTGGGTGCCTGGTGGCTCGGCTTCCTCATCTCGGCTGGAGCGGTGGCCCTGGCTGCCATCCCCTACTTCTTCTTCCCCAGGGAGATGCCCAAGGAGAAGCATGAGCTTCACTTCCGGCGAAGGGTCTTGGCAGTTTCAGCCTCACCTGTCAGCAAAGTAAGCCCCCTCCACGTCCCCACCCTAGTCCAGGCTCCAGCCCCAACCACTTGTCCTCCTTTGTAATATTAACTTTCACCCCTCCTGGGCACTGCACTTCACAGCTTACAAAGCCATTGCTGTCTGGCTCCATTGCATTCCTGTGCAACTCTCTGCATAGTGAGTATGTCCTGCCCCTTCCACAGCTGAGGAGATCAAGGCCCAGAGGTGGAAGGGACCTACCCAAGATCACAAGGCCAGCAAGGGCAGCACTGGGACGAGAACCCAAGCCTGTCTGAGCCCATGCCCCTTGCTCTGACGACTACACTACTGCCTCTCTGCTTGTCACTTCAAGTTTCCCATACATTCTGAACTTGCTGAAGCAATGTTGAGAACTGGGAGGTGGAGGGTGTGTGGAAGGGTCTGAGAAGACTTCTCTGAAGAGAAGTGATGTAAGCTGGACTTTGAGGGATGTGTGGAAGCACAGAAAGGAGAGGGAGGGGTATTCTAGGTGTGGAAACAGCCTGGGCAAAGGATGTGGCTGTAGGAATGAATGTGGCCTTTGCAGGGACATGAGGGGACAAACAGATATTGAGTGTCTCCCCTGGGCCAGGCGTCAGGCTGGACACTGGAGCTCAGCATATCATCTCTACCCTTAAAACAGGCACGGCCTAGTGAGGACAAAGACTCATTGACAAGTAGGAACTGGCGAGGTACTCCAGGGGCATCTCGCTGACCCCCCTGCTTGGCTCGTGGCGGGGGTGGTCTTTCCTCAGAGAAGGACCCTGGGGCCCAGCAGGTGCAGGGATGTGCCCAAGGTCACAGCTGGTAAGAGAGGGCAGGACCATGTGAGCCACTGGGCAGGAGAGATGATCCTGGGCCAGGGGCCACCAAGTTTTCCAGGGACCCACAAAAACATGAGGCTTGAAAAATGATACGTTGGCTCCAAAATACAAAAGAAAATGACAAAATAGAAATGTTTTACAAAAGTTCAATTATATGTCATTAATGTCAACTTCATCAATTTTTCTTTAATACTCATACACATTTTATTACATTCTGAAAATTCGTGCATTAGATGTTCTCTTTTCCCAAGTATAGGAGTGTAAAGGAAACGCACTGCTGTGTTTCTCCTTTACTCACACACACAGTATTTCTGGGACTAGATGTGTGGGATTATTCCCACACTGAACAATTATCTGTGACACCCACTGGGTGTCGTACAGCTTAACTCCATTCTGACACCATCTACTTGGAGATAGCATCAGATCCCACAGGTTAAGGGCTCAGTCCTGCAAGACTGCCCCCACTTCAGATGCCAGTCACAAGTCATAGGTCCCTGGTTACCCACGACTTCTGTCCAACTTGGCTACAAATCGGAGGTTCCTCAAACTCTGTCCTTGAATTCCATTATTTGCTAGAACAGCTCACAGAACTCAGGGAAACGTTTACTTACATTTACCAGTTAATCATATGATAAAGGATATGATACAGGATACAGATGCAGAGATACATAGGGCGAGGTCTGGGAGGGTCCCAAGCCTAGGAGCTTCTGTCTCCGTGAAGTTGGGACGCATCATCCTCCTGGCATGTGGATGTGCTCACCAACCTGGAAGCTCCTCGAATCCAACACTATTGGCATTTTTATGGCGGCTTCCTCATGGAGGCATGATCGATCGTTAATTCCATTCCCAGCCCCTCTCCCCTCTCTGGAGAATAGTGGGTGGGGCTGAAAGTTCCAAGCTTCTAATCCTGGCTTGCTCTTTCTCGTGACCAGCCCCCATCCAGGAGGCACCCAGAGTCACCACATTAGAAAGATGTTCCTCTCAGCCAGGGAATTCCATGGGATTTAGGAGCTCCATGTCAGATGCTCCTATCACTTGGGAAATTACAAGTGTCTTAGGAGCCCTGTGTCAGGAACTGGGGTCCAAGACTAAATTTAGCACCCTTATTTACAAGAGGTTTAGGAGCCCTGTGTCAGGTACTGGCAGCAGAGACGAATATATATATATATATACATACATATATATATATATGTATGTATATATATATATATATATTTATTTATTTATTTATATATACACACACATTTCTTGTTTCACAGGGAGGTAATTGTTGAGAAATCACAGACAATAATAAATTAAGTAAGCTAGTTGTTGCTAAGTAATTCTAACTTCAAACGGACAATTTTTAAAAATCCTGTCGAATATTTTGCAGCAAGAATAATTCTATTTAATGTGGCAGGTTGGTGCATTTGAATATGTTTACTGTAAAATGAGACAGGGCCTCCTTCTTAGAGCAAGAAAGTTTGGGCCTTGGAGGAAGGGCTGAAAATGTCTCTGCCTAGAAGAGCCAGGACTTGAGCCTATGTCTGTCTGACCCCAGCGCCGGCTGCCCTACAAACCTCACCACCCCAGTCCCGCTGCTGGAGCAGGGGAAATAGACATGGGGGAACCTAAGAAAAATGATGCTGGAACAGCCTGTAGGGGCCAGAACAGGAAGAACTTGCCTGCCAGCTTCAAGAGCAGCAGGTACCCCTGGAAAGAGGGTAAGAAGGGGGTCCCATGGCTCTATCACCAGGGACAAGGCAGAGAAAGGATGGCAAGGGACAAGGGGAGTGTGCAGAGAGCGACTGGGTGCAGGGAAGCCGATGTGGCAGCTGTGGCTGTGTCCAGGCAGGAGCCAGCGCATTGGCAGTGAGGCGGAGCACAGGGAGGAGTCAGGAGCCACCCAAGAGGGGGACTGCACAGACCTGGGTACTGCTCTGCTATGGGATCTCCCAGAGACGCTGAAGGGCTGGGCTGATGCTGGCTCAGAGGCAGGAATAGCCAGGCGCTGGAGAGCGACCAGTTTCAGGGGAAGAAGACAGCTTGGAACCAGATGTTCCTTCCCGGTTCTGCCTAGCTCAGGCCAAAATTTGAATGAGCTAGAATTCCTGGAACTTGGGGAAGAGTTCTTAGAAGTGGGGGTGATCGTGGGGGAAGGGGAGAGCCTGGGTTGCTGGTTTTGGGTAATCTCAAAGTTGGGTCCTAAATTTGAACAGACAAGAGCAGCCTCTTGGGCTGTGGGGCGCAATGGGTGGAAGACGCGAGGGCGAGACTTGTCTATGCTGCACTCCATCACATGTCAGTCATGTGACCTGGAGCGAGTCACTTCCCCATTCTGTCCTGTTGTGTAAGATGCTGAAGTTAGATTCCTGGAGCAATATGCTCTGCGTCTCGGATTCCGAGAATGCACAGTTCCTTGAGTCGAAGCTGCTGTGATGCAGAGATTCTGATTTTAAGAGCCGTGTCTCTGCAACGCCTTGAAACCCTGGCTCCCCGGCTGCGAACCTGTCTGGCTGTCTGGAATCATTCTGTCAGCACACTGGGGATGAGGAGTGGGGAGGGAAGGGGGTGAGAGGTTCTTAAAAAAGATCCGAAGGCTGAGAACATGATGATCTGCTTCCAGCAGCTCTCAGGCAATAAATATTGATGTGGGAGGAACTGTTCCCAGCCTCCTTGAGGCTGCCTTGGCCCGCCCTGCCTGCAGTTATGCGGGCTGGCCCAACCCACTCAGGCCACTGACGGGGAGGTGGATGGACCAGGAGGAAGGGCCAATTAGGCAGAAAGTCCAAGTCCCCAGACATGGGATGTGTATCTTCTGCAGGGAGAGGGAACAGGCAGTGGCAGAAAGTGAAGGGGGGGCTATTTCTGAAATCCCTTCAAGCATCCCCTCCCAGCTCAGGGGTCCCCTAAATATCCTCCTAGAAGTAAATGCAGTTTTTCATGTTATCCAGGAGATGGTGGTATATAATACAAGGATTGTGTGACCCAGAGAAGATCTCTGGTCTCAGTCTCCCTATCTGTACAACGGGCAGAAGATTGGACAAGGTCTGCCAGCTCTGGCAGGTTCAATGATGTCTCCTCTAAACGGCTCCCTGTCTCTGGAGCAGTACATGAGCATTTTCACAGGGGGTCACTGGGGGCCATCCCACACTCCTGCCCCAAGGAGCGCCCAGGTAGTGAAGGAAGGCCAGATACACACATGGAGGATGGCTGAATGACAGCCCAGGCTGCTCCCATGGCCAGTGCTTAGAGTTCTCAGCTTGAGAGCAGGAGGAGGGACGTATTAACAGTCTCCACAGAGAAGACTCTGAGATGGGGGATGCGGAGGCCACACAGGGCATGGCAGGGGGCAGGATCTCTGCTTGCCTGCCTTTGGCTGTGTCCTGCATCTGTGACCTCAGAGCTCAGCAGGCCACCCAGACATCCTTGTAGGAGTGAACAGGGCAGGTCTCACCTCTCTCTAGGCCTCAGTCTCCCCACCTACAATCAGCCAGTCTCTAAGGTCCTGTCAGGCCCCAGGTCTCCTGGCAGATGCCTCTGCAGAGCCTGTGGAGTAAAGATGGTCTCTCAGGGGCTCCCTAGCCCATTTTCTGGCCCCATCTGTTCTTGTGGTGCTGGGACCCCATTCAGCCGGCAGCCCTCCTGTGCCCTCCACACCCTGAGGTCCTTCTGAGCGCCTGCCCTTGGGGCTGGGCCAGGGCTGGGAAGGGCCTCATCCATCAAGATCCCCCATCCCTGCCCAGCCTCTGAGCACTACTAGCCTCGTCACCTTCCCTTGGTTCATATTTCCCAGGAGTCTCAACGTCTGTTATTCTGGGGTATCTCCCAGAGTCTGGGATTCTAAGATTATATGGTTTTAAAGTTCTGTGTTTCTAATAGTTGGAGATTCTCAAATACTTGTGTTCTATTATTCTAAGATTCTATGCCTGTGACTCCCAAAATTTGCATCTCTAAATGGCTACCACTTTGGCCTAAGAGTCTCTGAGATCCATTGTCTCCTCGGCATTAAACTCCATGTGCTGCTTTGGGAGGATGATCAGGGATGGGGACAGGAGTGGGTGGCGGCAATGGTCCTTAAACTCAGGACTTAGGGCTGGTCTACTGGGGTCTGCCCAGCCAGGCTGCCCCTGTTCCCCTGGGACTTTCTGCTCCCTCTGCAGCCCCTGTGAGTCCCGAGGTGACGCAGGTCTTCCT